AATAATAATAATAATAATAATAATAATAATAATAATAATAATAATAAAAGAAAGAAAGGCTCAACAGGTACAATTTTTTTTTGCTTTTTATTAGACGTGGGGTTTTCCTTTTTGTATAACTTATCTAATTAAAATATTCATCTTGTAGTTACCACAAAAAAGTAACATAGAAAATTGTATTTACATTTTGGGACCAAAATACAAATGCAGAGCAGGATGGTGCTTACTCTTGCCCCTCCTGCCTCCACAACAAAGAAAGAACGCCCCTGAGAACCCCTTGTAACACCGAGGATCGCAAAGGGCGAATCTGTCATTTGTGATCTGTAGTAGTGTAGCGCAGAAAAGAATTGCACAAGTTTTTACAAATGTGACCAAAAGTTGAACATCACTGTGTCTGCTTTGTGGCCATTGTGCATGTTGGTGAAGGGCTGTGGAGACAGCTGGCTTCCTGGGCCCCTCACTGTTCTCACCATATTCCTGATGCAGACACTCTTGAAGGGGTGGAGGATCTGGCTCTAAGCAAACTGGCTGCATCAGAAAACTTTATGTGCCAAACTGGATGCTGACCCTGGATGGACAAATGTGTGTCCTTTCTCCCCCTAAGCCTACGAACTCCTAAGAAGGGGAATTAAATCATACATAACTGAATCCGCAACAGGAAAAACGGCAAAGGGAAGTCTCGGAAACACAGCTAAGGCATAAATCTGAGGTGCTCAACACCCAGAGGGGGCTGTTCTGGGCAGCAGGGGCTGGCTCCTGGTGCAAATGTCCCCTGGACTTCAGGTAACAGACTTGATGTTAGATTTGGAGGTCAGGCTAAGACAGAGGTGGTATAGTGAAACACGCCATCAAGAGTAACAATGCTTTACTTAATCCCAAAATACAAATTAAAAACTCAGCAATACTTATGTCCCATGGCAACAGGCACCCTGTGTTGCAATGCACAGTAAGGCAGGCCCAGCTTTAGCTGTGCAGGTTTCCTGTGCTGCCTTGGAGTCTTTGTTAGCCTGAGGCCTCCAGGTTGGTTAAAAAAGTGTAGACAGGAGCAATGGCCCAATTTAGTGACTGTCTGTCCCCTCAAGTTCATAGAACCTTTCACCTGGCTCACAGACAAGTGAACCCTACCAGCTCCTTGTTCTCTGATGGCAAAGAGGAGTTGGCACTGCCCTCCTAGTTCTGATCTTGTCCCATGTCAACTGGAAAGAAGAATAAGCCTTCCTCCGGAACTGGCTGGCTGGGACCAGGTTTTCCCATCCTGGGGTACAGCCCAGCCCCTTCCCAAGGTGGCCCTTTCCTTCTAACTCTGGCCTGCACTCAGAAGGTAGGGGCTTCAGCACCAAGTTCTCTGCCAGACCCAGCAAACTGTTGTGCTCTCCCAGTCACATGATCTTTCCTTTCAAACAGAAGCAATTTCCAACACAACACTACAATGTTTTAAATCATTCACTCTTAGTAGTAATTCATAGAGAACAAGAGATTAAAGTGCTGGCTTTTCAAACCTCCCAAATCACATTCAGAGCTACAAAAGCCCTGCCATGTCTGTGTTTCCCCATGGTGTGGGGAAAGGAAAAATAAGGAGGGGGTGGTTAAAATACTGAACCAGAAACTAGAAATTATAAAACTGCTGAGGTCCTACACAATTTGATCTCTTAAGGTTCTGTCCTCTAGTGAGCCTTAAACAGGGACGAGGAGTGTGATTTGAAGATGATTTAGGAAGGACTTTACGCTTTGCAAACAGCCTTCCTTAACAAATACTACTGAAGGATAAGAAAGAAAGGAACCTGCCCAGGGTCTCAGAGGGAGGACAGGCATTCTGGCACTCACTCACTCCTGGCCCAATATGTGGGCTTGGAGTGACACACAGGCTCTGGGGGTACAGTGGACAAGTGTCTACTCAGAAGAGCTGACCTAGGAGAAGAATGGCTTTTGCTAGGCTCATCTAACTTTAACTTTAATAAAGGACCTAGAAAACAAAAGGCTTAATATACATAGAGGACAAAAAAAAAAAAAAAAAAAGAAAAAAGAAAAAAAAGAAAAACAAAAAAACCCCTAGGGGTATTATAAATATATCTGGGGGCAATATTTATTAATTAAAACTACGTCTTATAGTTTACAAAGATGCTAATTAGCAACAAAACTATAACTGATCTTAAAGTCCTCAGTAAGACTGAGGCACACACACTGTCTTCAGAAATCTGAAGTGTGCTCCAGGCAGGGTGCAGGGTTGAGGTGCGCGGGGAGAGGGAGGTACCTGCAACTGTGCAGGAGACAGGAACCAAAGTTCCACAAAGCAAAAGAGATGGGTCTTCTGTGGACATCCTCTTCTTCTGTGCCCACTGTCCCTGTATTCCTGCTCCCAGACTCCACACCCAAGGCTAGCCCTGCTTATCGTCGGGAGAATCTGTTCTTGAATGCTTTAATTGTCTTGGCCATCATTGGGGCAATTTCTGTGAAGAAAGAGGAGGCGGCTGTCTCAGACGGTGGCAGCGCACACATGCACCACTGCGGTTTACAGCAAAAGCCAGGCTGAGTTTGCTCCCCTGCCTGTGTGCCCTCCCGATACCCCACACAAATATAACAACGAGCAGGAACTACCTGCTAAAGCTGCCAAAGAAACCCTGCAGACCCTGCTGGCACAGAACCACCAGCACCTCTGACACCACAGCTTTTGAAGACTGGCTGATATGCTCGTAGATGGCTGCGAGAGGTAAATCAGGAGTCTTTGTTGACTCTTGGTGCCACAATGCCCACAATTTGACTTTGCAATATACACATTCAAATCAGTAAATAGTACCCAGAACCACCATCCCCCACCCAGTCTCCCATGGTAGCAACAGGTCTCAGATGAGCTAAGCACAAAACACCCCAGGAGGGCCAGCCTGCCCTTGGCTGGTGACCGATGTCCAGTTAACTAACACCTATGCCAGGATCCCCAGAACCCACAGCCCTGGTCCCACCAAAGATGCTTACTCTTCACAGCTGGTTTCCTAGGATCATAGGAAGCAGAACTGCTGGCCACTGGAGCTATGTGGGCACTGCTGGTACTGGGCCCATCGTAGGCCAGCTCCTCAGGGCTGGAATGGAAGCTGCTGCTGCTGTTGTTGGCAGGAACATGGCTGCTTCCTGTTGTATATGGTGCTGGCTTAATCCTGCAATACAGAACAAAGCCGACAGTTAGCTGGGAGCACACGATCCAAGCACAGCTGTTGCTGTGTGACTCTGTGCAATGGGCCTGGTCCACTGGGTTCTGGTGAATGTTCAGAGGCAGCTGCTAGCCCTCAGTGAGGACAGTTATCACTAAACTTTGCCTGTTAACAGGTCAGTCTAGAATTTGAAAATGCTCATGTGGCCTAGAAAAATCTAGTCACTCTGGAAATCTGTTTCGTTTTGGTATGTGTGTCTAAACAGATGTGGGTCCTGTGGCATGTGGTGGCCAGAAGTCAACTTGGGTTTATTCCTCAGGAGACACCCAGTTACAAGAGAGTCTCTCAGTGACCTGGAGCTCACTGCATAGGCCAGCCAGTCACGCCTTGCTCAGCACTAGGATCACAAGTGCACACCACCCCATCTGCCTGTTAACGAGAGTGCTGAGAGTCAAACTAGGTCCTCAAGCACTTTATTGGCTGAGCTGTATCTTCAACCCTAGAAATAGTTTTGGTGTTTAAGTGAGGGAAATGAAAGCAGAAGGGCTCTCCCTTTAGCCAGGTGCTGTTCCCCGCATAATTGACCTGGGTCCCTGACTAAAGCAGTGGGTCAGGACCCTAGGGGCAGAGCCGTAAAGTCCAGGTTCAGGAAGCATGCAAGAGCACAGCCTGCACTGCTTGCCTGCAGCCCACAATAAGTCACTTCATGGCCACCAGCTCTGCTTTAGGGTAAAGCATGCAGCAGCAGAGGTCTTGCCTGACTTTCTCCGGGACAGCTGCTCCACCGGTTCCAAACTTCTCCTGCCTCCGTCTAACATCTCGAGGTGGTTTAGCCACAGAGTTGACAAAGGCCATCTTTGCTTGGCGCCCTAAGGAGGAATACAAACCTCAAGATTAACCTTCTTAAAGGTACTACTTGTCAATTTAACAGTCTGAACCAGTGGTTCTAAACCTTCCTAATGCTGAGATTTTTGTTTTGTTCTGGTTTGGTTTTTGTCAAGACTGAGTAGCCTTGGCTGTCCTGGACTCGATTTGTAGACCAGGCTGGCCTCAAACTCACAGTGATCTGCCTGCCTCTGCCTCCCCAAGTGCTGGGATTAAAGGTGTGCACTACCATGCCCAGCCATGCTTCGACCCTTTAATACAGTTCCCCATGTTGTGGTGAGCCCAACCACAAAATTATTGTTTTTTTCGGGACAGTTTCTCTGTCTAGTCTTGGCTGTCCTGGATTCTCCTTGTAGCCCAGGCTGCCCTCAAACTCAGAGATCCACCTGCCTCTGCCTTCCCCAATGCTGGGATTACAGGCACGTGCCACTGTGCACAACTCATACATTACTTTCGTTGCTATATTATAACTGTAATTTTTCTACTGTTATGAACGGTAATGTCTGTGTATCTCTTCCAATGGTGCTAAGTGACCCCTGTGAAAGGGTTGTTTGAACCCTCAAAGGCTTGTAACCCATAGAACTCATGTAACTAGGGCTCATGGGGCCCTTGAATCCAGTCTCTAAAAGCAGCCTAAAGCAGAAGAAAAACTACCCCTGCCCACGTGCAAAGAGACATTTAGAAGATGGTGGCCTGTACCCACCAGACCACTGAGACTCAGGGACTGAGGCACCCAGCTGGCTGCCCCGGCCCAGCTCCCACTTCCTTTACCTTTTGGCTTATTGGCATGTGCAGACCGGATATTGTTTGTTAGGAGGCGCAGCCGCTGTTCTCTGGCATCCTGAAGCCTAAGGTACATCTCCCTCCAGGACTCATACTCTTCTGGTCTTTCTTCCTTAAAGTCTCGGTGACAGTGAACTTTCCACAACTGATCTGTTTCCTCAATCAACACCTGAAATCAGAACCAGGACGTGCTTCCATGCAAGCTCTCCTACACATTTCCCTTCACCTGATGTGTGGAGGCAGCGGCTACAGATTAGCATTAATTACAGTACCACACTACTAGAAAGAAGGCAGATCACTAAATAAAAACAAAACAACACGAAAGGTAGCTGTGTGGTAGTGGCATGCGCCTTTACGCCTAGTACTCAAGCAGCAGAGGCAGGAGGATCTCTGTAAATTCCTGGGCAGCTCTGGCCAGCCTTATCTACAGAGCAAGTTCCAGGACAGCCAGGGCTACAAAGAGAAACCCTGTCTCGAAAACATAGCAGCGGTGGCACATGCCTTTAATCCCAGCACTTGGGAGGCAGAGGCCGGAGGACCTCTGTGAGTTTACGGTCACAAGTTCCAGGACAGCCAAGGCAACACAGAGAAAGCCTGCCTTGAAGGAAAAAAAAAAAAGGTAACCAGTGCTCAAGAGGCAGAGGCAGAAGCATTGTCTGTGAGTTCCAGGCCAGCCTGGCCTACAGAGTGAGTTCTAGGGCTACAGCCAGAGCTACACAGAGAAACCCTGTCTTGAGAGGAAAAAAAAAAAAAAAAGGCTGGGAATAGGGGTGCATATTTTTAATCCCAGCACTCAGCAGGCAGAATCAGGTGGATCTCTCTGAGTTTGAGGCCAGCCTAGTTGACACAGTGAATTCCAGGACAGGCAGACCCTGTCTCAAAAAAAAAAAAAAACAAAAAACAAACCAAAAACCAACCAAAACAAAGCAAGATCCCAGAACTAGCACAAAAAGTATTCTTGTTTGTAGGCCCAGATGCAAACCAAATATGCCCAGAACAGTGATCTGCCCTTCCACCACAGCAGACCCAGAGACAAAGCTACTTTTGGAAACAGAGCCAGGTTGCTGCACTGTTCCTGCTTAGGACACTTACATGATTACATTCTTCTATTCGGTAGAGCTGATCAGGTGTACACCTCTCCAAGACAGGTTCAAGAACAGAATAGGGGACTCCTCCCACTTCAAAGATAGCTGCAGAGAAGCCAGAGGAGAGAAGGTGAGTGATGAATAGCAGCCAAACTCCCCAGTGACAATGTCCCAGTGTGGCAATGTTTGAGAAGTCGTTGACTCACAGTCAATATTGTTCTTCAGCACCCGGATACACTGCTGGTGCAGGGTCATCATTTTGGGGAGATAGGCACACTTGGAACCCGAGTACACCTGCATCTTAGAATTCATTCTGCGTCCTGTGAACCCAGCTTCTTCTTCTTCCTGGGGTGAAGAGAATGCTGCAGGAAGAGAAAAACCAGCAAGTCACAAAAGGTCTAGAGCACATGGCTGCCCACCATGTTCTACAACGCCAGCCCCAAGGGCTCCAACATCCTGTTCTAGCCCCCTTTGGGCACAGACATATATGCAAGTAAAACACTCATACAGGTAAAATAAGGAATAAAATCTTTAATCCTGGCACCTGGGAGGCAGAGACAGGTGAATCTGAGTTTAAAGACAGCCTTGTAATGGAAGTTTTGGTTTCTTTGTAAACTCAGTTATGTTATGTAAATATGTTTTTGTTTTAATCCCAAAGGTGGGATTTCAGCTGGGCTTCAGTTTGTTAATTATCTCCTGTAGGGTATGGCGCAGAGAGGGGCGTGGTCTAGGTTCTGAGACTGTAAATACGAGCCCAGAAAGAGAAGGTGTAGCGTGTATGGTAGCAGGTGGTTGTTTAGACCAGAGACCGGCAGTGTGGCAGTTTGGAGCAGACAGATGGAAAGACTTTGGGGAGCATTGCTTGGAGGAAACTGTTTGCTACACATTTGCTGTTGACAGAGTTTGGTGTACCCCCAAAAGAACACACTGACCCTAAACAGCCAGGAAATATAAAGGGGTCTTTGCCCCTCTCCCCACTAACCTTTTTCCTACCTAGGGTTAAAGGGTTAGTGGAAGGGAGGGCTTCAAGGAACTCTAAAAAACGAGTACTACACAGCCTGGTCTACAGAGTGAGTTCCAGGCTAGCCAAGGCTACACAATGAGGCCCTGTTTCAAAAAACTGAAAGTAAAATAAATGAAAAGGTATCCAAAATTACCTTTTCGCTTTGGCTGGAAGGAGGGAATCAACTCGAGGGAAGGAAGTGGACGGTAGTTGGCGTGGATGGCAGGTAAGGGGATGTCTGGCAATGCTGGCAGCACAACAGCAGAGACCTGCAAGAGACGGTGCGGAGCCCAGCCTGTGACACAGCTTTCTTCCCGTGGGCAGACTTAACCAAGCACACTGCACAGGCAGATAGCTCCAGGCTAGACGGGTACAAAAATCAAGACTCACACCATTGGATAAAAAATAAATGTAGACAGGGCAGAACCAACGCCTTAGGAAAAATTTTTTTGATAAGAAGTAAATGTAGGACCTCATATACTCTCAGTGAGCACTGCACTACTGAGCTACCTCCCTAGCCCAGAATAATTCTTATCCTGGGTACCATCCACCCTAGGTGCTAGTGAGGCCCGGAGAGTATTACCAGTAATCGAACTCAACCGGCTGTACGGCAGCAAGTCAGGCTCTGTGCACTCAGCAGGCTGGAGACAGAGTGCAGAGGTTACCTTTGGAGGCCTGGTGGGTTCGGTTCCAGCTGGCTGCAACTTCTCTGACTTGTTTTCATTCAGCTTGGGTAATTTCTGAACTGAGTTCAGGTTTTTACTAGTGCTTTTAGAATCCTTTTTTTTAAGTCCTTTTTCCCCAAGTGCTGTGCTTGAAGCCTTCACAGTCTTCTTTTTTTTCTTCCGGGGCTGGTCATAGCTGAGGTACGACTCGAACGACATGGTGGGCTGCTCAAACTCGTCATCCATGTCTGTCTCCTCTACTTTAGGCAGCGAGCCTGCTGACTTTCGATCCGAGTTAGCTTTTACTTTTCCCTCCTGAGCTTTCAGGTGGTTGGGAACTTTGTCTTTTGCTTTGGGCAACAGGTCGCCTGTCCCCCGCCCTGAGTCTAAGCCCTCTACACTCTGCTTGTTTTTGTCAGATTTGGTTTTCTCGGAGTCCTTGTGTTTGGGCTTTCTAAGGTGGTTGTCTGAAGCGGCCTCCAGAGCAGGTGAACACTTCTTCTTGACACTGTTGCCTTCTCTGTCCTTCTCTTTCTTAGTGACACTAGAGGATGTCTTCTCCTTGGCACTGTTCCCTGAGAGCAGCCTTCGGCTTTCCTCTTTGGAAGAGGACTTGTGTGAGTTCTCTCTGCCCAGGGCAGAGATTTTCTCCTCCCCTCTGGCATCCACAGAGCGTTTCTCCTTGTGGGAGGATTTGTGCTGCTTGTTTTGGCTTAGAGCCCCTTTCCCTTGGTGTTCACCTGGGTGTCGTTCTTGACTAACCCCCAGTCTGTCCTGAAGGGCATTACTATGAACTTTTCCAGGTTTCTGGTGTGAAATGATAGGCTCATGGTCCTCCTCCAGGGACCTGTAGTGGTCGGTATACATTTGATGAGGACTGGAAGGTGGAGGGGATTGAACATGGCCATAGTCAGAAGACTCAGGGTCTGAAGAATATGGAGGTGACACTTTGTGACACCTCTTCCTTTCATCCCTCCTCTCGTGACTGTGAGCCGCTTTGTGAGGCCTTTCAGGCTCGGAGAGTTTTTTGTGTTTTTTCTGTCTGTGCTCAGGGCTGTAGGACCGGCTGCCAGAGGCTTTCCAGCTTTCCTGGTAGTCCCCCTCCACTTCCTCCTCCCTCTGAACAGCATCTCGGGGACGCTTTCGGGAATTGTTCTTCTCAAAATCCTGATCCTCAGCCTCATTATTTCTAAAATAAAGCAAAAGCAGGAGATCTCAGCGTAGACCTCTTTACACAAAGTCACAGACTGTGACCTCAGGCATGGAGGGCACATTTACAATCCCAACACTTGGGAGGTGGGTCAGGAGGATCAGAAGTTCAAGACCATCCTCTGCTACAAAGCAAGTTCAAGGCCCAATGGGCTACAGAAGACCCTGTCTACCACAAAACAAAACGGGCAACAACAAAGACCAGGTCAAGAGTGCTGGCTCACATCTATCATCCCAGTACCAAGGAGGCTAAGGTAGGACTGTTGAGTCAGATATTCAAGGTCATCCTGTTACACAGCATGTTCAAGGCTAGCTTGAGCCACAGAATGAGACTCTGTCTGAAAGAAGACATTAAGGCCAGCATGATGGATTAACAGGTAAAAATACTTGCTATGCAAGCATGAAGTCTAATCCTATGGTGACAGAGGCTATCCTCTGACCTCCAAGCATGTACCCAGCCGCCATAATAATAAATAAGAGCAATCAGAAGGGTATAGTTTAGTGGCGAAATATGTGCTTAGTATGTGAGAGACCCTGGGCTTAACCCTCAGCATCAAACCTCCCCCCGCCAAAAAAAAACCCAACAAAATGTTACTGTTTAGCATTAATAAACAAACAAACAAATAAATGGATAAAGGACTCCGGTGGCCCATTTCTTTAATTCCAGCACTCACAGGCAGAGGCAGGCAGATCTCTCGATTTAAGGTCAGCCTGGTCCAGAGAGAGAGAGAGAGAGAGAGAGAGAGAGAGAGAGAGACCCTAGATGGGCACGGTGCCACATGCCTTTAATCCCAGCACTCTGAGAGGCAGAGGCAGGAAGACTGCTGTGAGTTCAAGGCCAGCCTGGTCTACAAAGCAAGTCCACGACAGCCAAGGCTACACAGAGAAACCCTGTCTGGAAAACAACAACAAAAAACATTATATATCCTACAATAATTATGGATTATTTTTGCAATAATCCATAACATAGTTATTTGACATAAGCAGAACAAGCAAAGAAGAAACGTTCTTACCGCTCTATAGGAACCAGCTTCTTCCACTGGGCCACCAGGTCTCTGGCAAAGTTGCCCACTTGCTCATGTTTCCGGAAGCTGTTTACTGTTTTCCCTACCCCAGTCTCCTATAAATAACAAAGAAATTGATTGAGGAATCTGAAACTAAGGGCATATTTTTTACAGAAATAAGGCTTCCTGTTTGAGAAAAGCAACAAACAATCGTCACTAAAACACCTATATCTTATACTAAATTCCTTTGTTGCCTATGCCCAGATATCTGACACAAAGTAATAAAGCTCACAGGCTTAGATAAAGATGTCATCAAAACACCAGAACCACAATGTAACAAGGAGGGATGGGGCAAGACCCATGCAGGGCTGTAGACCTGTAGACTCTCCTGAGTTAGTGTTCATTATATCCCTTTAGGAAGGAATCAGCCTAAAGCCAGAGAAGTTGGCTCAGATTCATTCACTCATTCACTCACTCACTCATTCATTCATTCATTCATTCATTCACCATGCAGTTTTCTGCCTAAGGCCAGAAGAGGGCACCAGATCTCATCACAGATGGCTGTGAGCCACCATGTGGTTGCAGGGCCTTTGGAAGAGCAGCCAGTGAGTGCTCTTAACCTCTGAGCCATCTCTCCAGCCTGGTTTTGTTATTGGTTTTTGTTTTTTTAAGACAGAGTTCACTATGTACACCAGTCTGGCCTTGAAACTCAGAAACTCACCTGCAAAGGTACACACAACCATGCCTGCCTAGAAGCTGGATTAGAATCGGGAGTAGTAGATGCCAAAGCCAATTTTCTTTTTATGTATTAATTTTTTAAAGGATTTATGCTTCTTTGTGTATGTGTGTGTGTTAAGTGTATGCCATGTGTACTCTTGGAGGCCAACTGGAGTGAACAGGCAGTTGTGAGCTGCCTGATATGAGTGCTGAAAACTGAACTGATCCTTTGGAAGATCATTAAGCATTCTTAAACATTCACCTAGCTCTCATGCCCCTCATATATTTAAAATGAACTGAGCAGGGTAATGGTGGCACATGCCCATAATCTCAGCACTTAGGAAGGCCGAGGTAGGCGGATCTCTGAGTTCGAGGTCAGCCTAGTCTACAAAGCAAATCCAGGACAGCCAAGGCTACACAGAGAAACCCTGTCTGGGGTGGGGGGGATTGAATTGAGGGCTAGAATGATGTTTGCAGTTAAGAGCAATTACTGCCCTTGCAGAGGACTGAAATCCAATTCCCAGCACCCGTATCAGATAGCTCCCAATTGCCTGTAACTCCAGTTCCAGGGAACCTGAGGTCCCGTGGCCTCTTTGATCATTTAGACACTCATAAAGTCTCACAGGCTCACATACACATAAGAAGAAATCTTAACTGGGGGTGGTGGCTCATGCCTGCAGTCCCAGCACTCTGGGAGGCAGAGGCAGGTGGATCTTTGTGAGTTCAAGGCCAGGCTGGTCTACAAGTAAGTCTGGGACAGCCAAGGCCAAATACAGAAACCCTGTCTCAAAGGAAAAATAAAAATAAATCTTTAAATTTTGAACTAAAATTTATGTAACAGGAATAGATGTGTAGCTCAGCCAAGGGCACCTGTCCTTCACAAGCTTGTTCCACAGCATGCTTGCCCACCTTGGCATATGACTTAAAACTCACCGTCTTAAAGCACATGGTGATTTCTAGAACACTCCGCACACTATGCAAAAATCACCAGCACCTAACTCTGGAACATGAAAAGAAGCCCCATCCTTCCAGTTCCCCCAGTCCCTCACAACCACGCATCTATCTAGTTCATGTCTACGGCTCTCCCTATTCTGGACATTGCATATACACAGAATCACACGCTGCGCAGTGTTTTGGTCCGGCTTTTTCCTGTAAGTCTCCATCTACCCTCTGTCTAGTGGGAAACATTTGTAATACAGTCACATAATATTTACAGTTAAAAAATTCTTACCACAAGAATGTCTACTGTGATAGGCAAGACGGAAAGTTTCTTCAAATATTTCAATAGCTGCAGAGAGAATGAAATAAATATTAATATCTACAGTCGTAACTAGCTTCTCTGGTGCAGAAGAGCCCATCTGATGGTGAAATGTTTGCTTGGTGCCATGCTCTTCACGGTAGCAACTATGGGTACTATTTTTATCTTACAAGTGTGAAAGACAGGCCTCATTGCTAGCCTTAGATACAAGTGGCATAAGATTTACTTTAGTCTATGGTTTTAGAGTCTCTGCTTTTTCCTATGAGTTGTTAAAAATGTGTATATATGCTATATACAAACATGTGCATATCTGTGGAGGCCAGAGGACAATCTTAAGCACCATCAGGCTGGGCACATGCCTTTAATCCCAGCACTGGTAGGGTGACGGCCTAATCTAAGCTGGACCCTATCTCAAACACCAACAACTACTGCCCATCTCAGCTGATGCTGGGTCTGATTCTGGCCTGGAGGGCACTAACTAGGCTAAGCACACTGACCCATAAGTCTCAGGGCTCCTCCTCCTGCCTCTCCAACACTGTAATTACAGGACGGAAACACTATGCACCAAATGAGCTATATCTCCCAAGTCCTCTTTTGTGGCTTTTATCTTGGACTCACTTTGAGGATCAGGCTGGCCTCGAACTCACAGAGATTTGTCTGCCTCTGCCTTCTTGAGGCTGGGATTACAGGCATTTGGCATCACTCCCAGCTTAGTTTTGTTTGTTTGTTTTTAATACTGGAGATTGAACCTATTTAATGACCCATGCTGACAAGTGCGCTGTCATCAAGTTTCTTTTTACTTTTAGAGATAGTCTCACTGGCTTTCTCAGGCTTGGCCTTGACTTCTGAGCTTCCTGCCTTGGCCTCTGGAGCACCGGGGCTTACAGGACTGCACTATGCCACTAGCGTGGCGAGATTCTCTAGTTTCAACTGCTTTTCTTCTCTAAGGAGAAAGAAGAGGCAGAAAAGTGATTTACAACTCACTAACTGGGACTGGACAAATGACTCAGTGGCTACTCTAGCTGCTCTTCCAGAAGACCTGGGTTTGATTCCCAAAACTTACATGGTGGCTCCAATCATCTATAACTCCAGTTCCAGGGGATCATTTGTTCTCTTCTGGCCTCCAAGGGTACCAGGCATGCATTAAGTGCCCAGACATTCATGCAAGCAAGACATACATACACAAACTAAATAAAAAAAATATATAAATCCTCACTAACTGGTCTAGTGTGGTGACTCATGCCTATAATCCCAGCATTTAGGAAACTTAGGCAGGAGGGTCACAATTCAAAGGTCATCTGGGTTTCAGAGAGAGCAAGAGAGAGAGAGAGACAGAGAGAGCTTCCCCTTCCCTCAAAAACAGAACAAAAAACAATCAAACAAAGCCACTAGCGACTATTACTTTGCAGAGGATTGTGAAAAGCAGCAAGTTTAGGGAAATTATCCACAGACCTGATACAACAGAAAGCAGAACAAGGACTCCACAGGAAGAGAGTACCTACAAGCTTCCTGGAGGGCTACAGTGCTTAAGAGAGGTTGTTTTCAACACAAATGGGAAGTCAAGATCAATCCAAGTTGCTGGAGTCAGAGCTTTGCTGTTAACAATGATCACACATAGCTGAGTAGATCAGAAAGATCTGGGTTCGCCCATTTCCTTTCTAGTATCTCTACAACTAGGTCAAAACTGGTAAAACAGAGCTCAAGATGGAGTCAGAGACAGGTCGTCTCAGCTTCTTGCTTGATCTTGTGCAAGTCAGTAACCTCCCTGAACCTTACTTCATCTGCAAATCAAAACTAGATTCTCTGTCTGCTGCACAAGCTGTGAGGATTCACTGGGACAGACCTGGGCAGGGCTTAGTCATGGTATCTGCAACACTATAAACATGTTCACCCCTAATCATTTCATTCATCAGTCAACAGCTCTTTCATATCCTACCCCTTGACCTGACCAGAAACTGCTCAGTCAATTCCCACTCATTTTATTTCTAATAAAAGTCAGGACTGCCTAAGCCTGTGCTAAGAACGGTCATGTGCATATAAACACTTTCGTGGTAAAGTACAGCAGTACAAAACAGATAACTGAGCCAGCTGTAGCTCTAATCCCCTGTAATCCCTGCACTCAGTCTGATGCCAACCTGGGCCACATATTGAGTACCAGGCCATGGTATACGGCAACTCCTCACTCAAAAAGCCAAAACATGGGACTTGAGAGATGAGTCAGGGGTTAAGAGCACTTGTTGCTCTTCCAAATAACCCAAGTTCAGTCCCAGCACCATCTGGCAGTCCACAGCCACAGTCACTCCAGCTTTAGAGCCCCTGATGCCTCTACTGGCTTCTGCGGGCTCACATTTACGTGTACAAACTAACACAAGTGTGTTGTTACACGCGCACATACATGCATTAACGATTTCAATTTTTAAAAAGCCAAAACAGGGCTCAAGAGAAGGCCAGGTGGCTAAGAGCACTGGCTACTCTTGCAGAGGACCTGGGCTCAGTTCCCAGAACCCGTGCGGCGACGACTCCTAACTGTGTACTCCAGTTCTACAGGACCCAATAGCCTCTTTTGGCCTTCATGGGCATTAGGCATGCATCTGATGCACACACATATGTTCAGGTAAAACTCATAAAAAATAAAAACAAACATTGTTTAAAAGCCAAAATAAAACAAAATGGATAACTGGCTGCCTTACATTTAAATATCAGCAAGACTTGTTCATTCTCCACTGTAGTGCAGACTGTAACTGGTATGCCATATTACTCTACTACAAGGTGGAGCAACAAGTATGTTTTTCTGGTCATTCTACTTCCATAATTACTTAACATGGTCTCTAGGCAGAGCAAATGGATCACAGGTGACAATCTTGTTTGACTGGGAATAAGAGGCCCAGCGGTGTATCTGGGGAATATGAAACTTAATGGAGTAAAAACTGTACTTAAACTCTACTTCCTCTATTCTCCAAGTCAGGAAACACTGTGTGTTTCTTGTCAGATAGGCTAGAAGTGCAAAGGCCAATAACATTTTCTGAAAGGGAAATCTGGAATTAGTGGAAAGAGTTTAAATGGGCAGTTCAGCCAGGTGGTCATGGCACACACCTTTAATCCCAGTGTTGAGGAGACAGAGGCAGGGGAATCTTTGAGATCGAGGCCAGCCTAGCCTAGCCTACAGAGTGAGTTCCAGGACAGCCAGGACTACATAGAGAAACCCGTCTTGAAAACAAACAAACAAACAAACAAATAAAAAGGGTGATTCTCCTCTACTGTGAGCCCCTAGAAGGAGACATGTAAATAGCATCCACTGTGTGAACTCTGTGTCTGGTATGATAAGTCTGTCTCATTTGACCCTGTCTTGTGGGTAGTATGCTCCTATTTTACTGGGATACCGAACCTGGATCCAGTAAGGTTCCATAACTTGCCTAAAAAGCCAAGAAATGCCTAACATAATAATCACTGATCTTAAAAGGAAAGGCGCATAAGCCTGACTCATGCACTGAGCGCTTAGCAGGAAAGAAGGCAGGTACTTTTCCTCAGCACCATGCTACTTGACAGCTTACAGTCCACGTGGCAAAGGAGGTCACAAGGACAGAGTTACAGCACCTCTACACAGAGGATGTGTTCATCCCAATGCTTAGCACTAGCTGGCCAAGTGAGAGTTGCCTCTTGCGTACCTTTGGGCTAGTGGACAAAATGAAAACTTCTGAGATTTTCAAGGTAATTTGGCCCAGTATAAGATAAAAATACTTCACCACGCCAGTTTTCTGTAAATTCCAAGAAAGAATAAAGCAATAACAAGGAATGGGCTCAAGTAGATGGAAACTTGTGTGGTCAACTCAAAGTATCATCTATAGAGCCAGCAAAAAACTGGTAACAGATGATTGGGAAATATCAAAAGTTTGCACAGTAGCATGCTTAGGAATCTCTGGGTCTCCTGCCCATGGCTTCCACCCTTAAAGCCAAACAGGTTTCCAACAGTGACTTCCTAGTTCTCCATCTACCATCAATCTGTGTGCTTCATAATTTTCACACTCAAAACCCAATAAAGGACTACTAACTTTATCATACATAAAAATCATTTCTAATCCAATAATAGGAACAGAAGCTAGGTTATCTCCCAGGACCTCTCTAACAAGTGCACCCAGACCCTGAATGAATGTAGAGTAAATACATAGTTAATTTACACTTAAACTACCAAAATCCAATAGCAGGAGTCCCAGAAACACAGGCGTAGAATCAGCATGTTGGCTAATAATGGTCTGGAGGCAAGATTTGGTTGCAAATTCAATACTGCTCTATATAATCATCTTGCCATTCAAGAACCTGTGAGAGCTTGCTGTGTTAAGAGGAGGTTGGAAAGCCACTGTGCCGGCTTGCAATTTTCCCTCTGCAGTCAGCTTCTTTGTGAATGCCAATGTATCAGGCCCTTTGCAAAGCGGTCTCTCAACGTTTTCCTCACCTTCACAACACATTCAGTTCTCCCTCCCCATTGGGTACCGAACCAAGGAGCACATGTGGCTGCTGTACTACAACTCTGGCCCAAAGGTAATTTCCTATCTGGGAAAAGAAAAGCCAAATAGGGTTTTCAGTGGTGGACTGTTGCTTACACTGCCTGCATATGAGTCCCTGGGTTCAACTGCCAGTACCACAAAACCCAACAAAAACCCTTCAATGCCCTTTGAAAAAATTACTAGGCGTTCAAAACCTACTCAAACATTTTTTCCTAACTTCACATTTTATGCACAACTGGACAGGCCATTCCAAAATTTAAATACTAATGAAAAAAAAAAAAACTATAGATACTACATAGAGGATTTTTTTAATGTGATGAATAAAAAAAAAAAAAAAAGAGTGGTTCAAATCTTATAATGTTCAGAAAGACAAACTGTCACTTGGAAATAATGACCATTTATTAGATGCCCACAAAGGCTTATTGTAAAAAGAAACGTGTAGATATGGCTGACCGAAGGTACAGAAGCCTCCATAGAAAGTAAAACACAAGACTAATTGAAACACTTAAGTTTTCACCGATTTTATAACACAACTTCTGAAGAAGTGTATCTATGAGCTGACTGAGGGGAGTTAAAAAAGTGGCCTGGCGGTGAGAGGCAGTGTGCAACCCTCAAAAACAGAGAAACCTCTCTGTGACCCGCCGGGAAGAAGAGAGGACGGGCCCTTGACTGGAAATTCTGAAAGATGGCGATCAACACTTAGAGACCACTTGGGTCCAGCTGGCATTTCAAGAAGAAACTAGACAATTCCAGAACTAGCGTTGGCTGGGAACCTAGACTGCACGAACAAGTCCGATGCCTCCCTCTGTTACCTCCTCCTCCTCCTGCACTCAGCTTTTAGGAACCTGGGGCCCCGGCTAGAATGCTGACAAGCAATGGGACACCGTCCGCTGTTTTCAGCCAGAGACTTCAATGAAAATGATTCTAACGCCCACCATATCCTCTCCGAGACCACCGAAAAGCCGGGTCACCAGGAGACCAGGAGGGGAAACAATGTATTTAAGGTAACAGTTTCTAAGAGGAGTAACAAAGTAGTTGAGTGCAATTAAACATGGTTCCTCATCGCGCTCGGTTCCCACCTTCCACGAAGTCAGAGGCGTGTTAACACGCTCACGCCCTCGGGTCCGGGACCCGAGTTCCAGGAGCGGCGGAGCTCGAAAACCCAAGGCTTTCCCCGTTTCCTCGGCTAAAGGGCAGGGGAAACAGCGGGGGTCCTCAGCCGGGGAGCCGCAAGCCCCCGAGCAGGAGGACGGTCGCCGCGCTGGGACGGGGAAGCAGCTGGTGCCCGCAGCCCGGGGGGGCCCAAGGCCAGGCCGTCCGCGCCCCCCGCCCCCCGCCCCCGGGTCCTCAGCACCCAGCCGGGACGCGCCCGCCGCCTGCGAACTCCTCGCTGCCCCGCGCCGCCCCGTGAGGCCTGGCTCCGGGTCCGCGGAGGACCGGACCGCACCCGCCCCGCGACCGTTACCGGGCCCACGCCGCGCTCAACGCCCGCCCGCGCCGCCCGCCCGCCCGCCGCCCACCTTCTTGGGGTCCGGGTTCGCGGCCAGGCGCGCCTGCAGCTTCTCCACAACTTGGAGCGCCGACTCCGCCGCCATCGCTGTCACTGGCGCGGCCTCCTCGCCGGAACTGGGCTCGCGTCGCGTCCTCGGGCCGCAACTCCGCCCTCCGTGCGGCCCCGGCGGAGACGGAAGCGCGAATGGTCCCTTCCGGGCCTCCGCTGGGGGGCGTGTGGGGACGGCCTCAGGACACGCCCCCGAGCCGGGCCACGCCCACAGCGTCCCGCCCCAGCGGCAGGCCACGCCCCCGGCACGCCCAGCCCAGAGCCACGCCGCCAGCCACACCCCCGAGGCCCTGAGCCGCTGCGGAGGCTCCAATTCTGCAAGCCAAACTTCGGCCTTTCCTCCCGCGCACCGTCCGCCCCGCTCTGCCGCGAGCCACACCCTCTTTTACACCTGACGGCGACCTCAGGGCTTGGCCCCGCGGTCCGACAGCGGACCCCAAGACCCTCCTGGGACGCTTGGAGTGGAAGGAGAGGACAGACTCCTGTATGATTACCTGACTTCCACGTGCAAGCTGGGACACACACCCACACAATAAGGAAATCGTGTAATTGAAAATTTTAAAGTAACTTAACGGTCTTGTAATTTTGGTAGCACAGTCCAGGCAACTGTTAGGCAAACGCACGGTCTGATTAAGGAGGAACATTGAATTCTCCCGCAAAACAGCACACAAATTCCGTGCAGTCGGGAGGGTCTGTTTTGCGTAACTGCGGTCGCTGTTGTGCTCACAGGCTCGGGTGTCTGAGCTGACTACTTCCATCGTGGTTTCACAGCTGGGCATACGCTCAGGGGTGGCACCTTCCCAGGGACCAGGTTTGACAGGTTCTTTGCTCTCCTCAGTACAATAAGGTCAAGCCGAGGCAGACGACTCCAGGAAATGGTATGTGGGACTCAAAATCTACACATTCACATCTTGCCTTGAAGTTGGGCTAAACTTCCTGCTGGCGCTTGGTGAGTAGCTGACCTAGAAATGCTCAGCGGTTCCTAATCTACCGAGGACAGAGCGCAGCGTTCTCCACGGAGGAGAACGCTTGGAGCCAGGTCCATAGAGAATTTGTACCCCCAACTCCCGCTCCTGAAAAAGCTAACCTGAAGCAAAGGTGGCACACACCTTAATCCCAGCACTCAGGAGTAGGTAAATCACTGAGTTCCAGACCAGCCTCGTAACACAGGGACTTCCAGGACAGCCAGGACTACATAGAGACCCTGCCTTATAAAAAAGCCGGGCTTGACTGTCTCTGACATGAACTCAGTGGCTGGCTTTTTTACCTTCCCCCCCTCCCAAAGGGAGGAGCAGCTTTGCTAGGCCACAAAGGAGGACGTTGCAGCCCGTCCTGATGAGACCCCATAAGCTAGGGTCAGACGGAAGGAGAGGAGGACCTCCCCTATCAGTGGATTTAGAGAGGGGTAGGAAGGAGATGAGGGAGGAAGAGTGGGATTGCGAGGGAATGAGGGAGAGGGCTACAGGTGGGATACAAAGTAAATAACCTGTAATTAATAAAAAAAATAAAAAGTATATATATATTTAAAAAAAAAAAAAAAACAGGCTTGGTGGCACATTCCGGTAATCCCAGCACTCTGGGATGCAGAGGCAGGTGGATGGATCTCTGTGTGTTCGAGGCCAGCCTGGTCTACAAAGCAAGTCCAGGACAGCCAAGGCCACACAAAGAAACCCTGTCTCAAAAACAAAAACAAAACAAAACAAAAACAAAAACAAAAAAAAAAAAAAAAGGAGGAAAGCACTTCAGCTCATTATTATCTTACAGGAGTTGTAGGAGGCCCTGGCTTGGATCCCGCTGCTTCCACCGGCACATAAAGAGTAACAAAAACAATTCAATGTAACAAAAATAATTCAATTTCAAATATCCTGCATTTGCATACATTGTATCCAGTAGTAGCCTACAAGCTTCCTTTAGGTTTTTTCACTTTGCTTATTTTAGTGGTCTTTCCAATGTGTAAGCTCGGGGGAGGTTCTCTGTGCTCAGTAGCTGGATAGATACGAAGTTTCTAAATCGATGGCCACAAAGGTGGTTCAGCCGATGAAAGTGTTTGCGCTGAAAGCCTGGAGGAAGGAGGTAGGAAAAACTAATGTTGGCTAAGTGTCTTCCTGGAGGCTCAGCTCTGTGCTGCTTCACTCATCTGTCCCTCCCAGCATGTCCAGAGAAATTTTAAGGATGGGGCATCCAAGGCTTGGACATGTGAAAGGAGAACCTTCAGTTTGATAGAGGACAAAACCAAAAGGTAAAGCTGAGATGGTGCTGCATGCCTTTAATCCCAGCGCTCGGGAGGCAGAGGCAGGCAGATCTCTGAGTTCGAGGCCAACCTAGTCCACTGAGTGAGTTCCAGGACAGCCTAGGCTATGCAGAGAAACCCTGTTCTGGAAACAACAACAACAAAAACTAAAACCAAAGGCACATGAAGAAACTTGGCTCTTTTATTTTTATTTTATTTTTTTAACCATGTAGCCCTGGCTATCCTGAAATTCACCAAGTAGAATACACTGGCCTCTTATTTTTAGTTATCCTCCTGCCTCTGCCTCCTGAAATTACATTGTGTGCTAATCTCTTTGATCTTAAGCTACTTCGCTCTCTGTTGTCTTAGAAGCCACTTGGGAAGAAGCAATTCACTCATTCATTCATTTCCTTGATGTCCCCAACACCACCACATCCCTAGGAATGAGCAGGTCCAAGCTACACAGCTCTCCTCTGGTGATCCTGCAGCTGTGTGAGGGCTGGGGCTGTGAGTTAGTGCTAGAGTGTTTCCCAAGAACTTTACAGGCAGTGGGGAAAAAATTGCCAACTTGTGAGTGACTGAGTGGATATGAATAAAGAAGGGAGTCTAACTCCGCCTGGAGGTCAAGAATGGGGCCATTTGGAGTGTATCTCCTTTGCTTTTCAAGAGAAGAAAAGACGGGGTTTCTCTTTGTAGCTTGGTTGCCCTAGGCTTGCTTTGTAGACCAGGCTGGCCTGGAACTCACAGAGATCTTCCTGCCTCTGCCTCCCCACGTGCTGGGATTACAGGCGTGAGTTACCACACCTGGCTTGGCGTAGATCTTGGAGGAAAGAATTTGCCCAGAACTGTGAGTAGACGATCACTCCAGGCGGGACAGCAGCAGGTACGAGAGGTCTGGACGTGTGAGACTTTGGATGAAGGTAGGGAGAGGACATGGACCAAGAAACCACTCCAGAACACCACCCAACCTTGCTCAAAACGCCCCGTAACCGGTGAAATGCCCGAAGACACTCCCAGATAAAAAGTACAGGGTTACGAGGCAGAGCTCTTCCTTGAATACACGAGTCAGACCATCTTGAGCACAGATGCAAACCAGCCACGTGGAACAGCCGGGTTCAAGCTGGCGTGACCGCCTACAGCCCTCAAGGAACTTTCTCTCGAGTAGTTGGTTACCTTGTACCCAGGAGGCAGACACCTGCACACACCCTGACAGGCCTTTCTAGGCATATGGTATTGGGGACAGATTTGCTGTCAGACCCCTTCCCCCACATAAGCGCCCCCTTGACCGAGAGGCGAGCCAGACAACACAATCAAACCAAACGGGAAATTCAACTCTGTTAGTAGAGGCGGCACTTTAGACGTTGCCCTCTTCAGGAGCAACCTTGGGTGGGCATTGCCGTCCTTAGGTTACAGAGAGAGAAAATAAAATCAGGCTGAGTCAGGCGCTGTGAATGCAGCCGCCTAACCCAGACCTCTGACTGTGAACAAGGCGTCCCATTTCACCCTCAAAGAGCTTCCCGTACTGACTGACTTCTCTGGCACTGTTCATTGAAAGCTCTAAGGTGGCCTGAAGTGACCCTTCCCTGTTACCCACAGGAGCCTGGGCTACCGGTTACTTCCCTTTCTGCTTCCTAGTTTTGTTGTTGTGTTAAGCTTGAGGGTGATTCTGTTAAAGCCCGAGAGGAAAACAACAGTGTAGGCAAGCAGTAAGTCTCTGCAAGTAGGAGATGGAGAACACTCGAAAGGCTGGGTTTTTGAGTCAGGAGATAAGAAAGAACGTCCTGCAATGGAGCCACAAGATGGAAGGGGAAGAAAGCCTCAGGGAAACCAGAGTGCCAGGGGAAGCATGCTTAGACTTTTGACCAGGGTCTGAAAGACCGAAGAGAGCAGAGCTGCCCTGAGGACAGAGCGGCTGTGCTTTCTGCTTTAATGGGCCGGGCCGAGGGGGTGAAATACATCACCGAATCTTCAGAGGGGTGGAGCTGTGTCTGGTGAATATGCTGATGTCGAGCCAATAAATACTTTCCCGCAAGCCCCGCAGATGGAAGAAACGTTATGCTCCTTCATGAAAGGATTTTGTTTGTCTGCGTTTTGGGGGTTTGAATGCAGAATGTCTCAGAAGCTAGGTAAACTCCTTGACCACTGAGCACCCAGGCCTACTAACAACTGAAAATTTTACCAGTTGTTAGAGTTTCCACAACAGCTTGATCTGTAATAAAGATAAAGATTACAGCACAGATTTATTTATTCTTATTTTTGGTTTTTTGAGACAGTTTTTTTTTTCTCTGTGTAGCCTGGCTGTCCTGGACTCACTTTGTAGACCAGGCTGGCCTCGAACTCACAGAGTCTACCTACCTCTGCCTCCCTGAGTGCTGGGATTACAGGTGTGGCTGTGGCCACAGATTTATTTATTTTTTTAAAATAATTTATTTTTTTATTGTATGTGCATTGGTGTGAGGATTTGGGTCACAAACAGCTGTGAGCTGCCATGTGGGTGCTGGGAATTGAACCCCGGTCCTTGGGAAGAGCAGACAGCGCTCTTAACCACTGAGCCATCTCGCCAGCCCCCACAGATTTATTATTTTTTTAAATAGAATTCCTGGGGCTGGCGAGATGGCTCAGCAGTTGAGCTGCTCTTCTAGAGGACCTGGGTTCAATGTTCAGCACCCACAGTGCGGTTCACAGTCTTCTGTAATCCTCAGGTAACCCAATGCTCTTGTCTAGCTTCTGCAGGCCCCAGGCATGCAAATGCTATACAGACATACATGCAGGCAAAAAACATCTATGGATATAAAATAAAAACAAGAAAATAAATACATTACAATTGTGGATATTTTAATGTCCTAATCAAGCTCCTTTGTGCAATTAATATGTG